CAATTCTCTTTCGTGGAAAAGGGGAATACACGAAGAAAAGAGAATAAAAAAGAGAAAGTCAAAGAGAAAATATGACAAGAAACATAAAAAAAGAAAAAAAAATAGACTCAATATTTGTCGCTTGTAGATAATATATCTATAGGTGTAATAGATAATTGAGAAGTATGTATGTAAATAAATAAGGAAATCATAACTAACGAATGATAATAAACAAGTAGACACATTGATAAATAGACAATGTAAATAAAAAAAATAGTAAACAATACATACCGTATGATTGTAAATAACTAAGTATAGTGAATCGATGAGTAAAGATTTAAAAAAAAAAGAAAAAGAAGTAATATGTAAAAAGGTAAGGAAATGCCATTTGGTTTTATATGAAAATAACGATAATGATATGCAAATTATAACTACCCACGTACCAATTTAAAATGATATATGTTATAAACTGAATTAACAAGGGAATTGCAAATGTGTTGTAAATGTAAAAGCGAATATTAGTGTTACTGCAATAAACGTTTATAAGAGGGAATTTAGGGAACGCCTCGGAAGCTTGCACGTTTTTATTACCCTAGCGAATAAGAATGAGAAAACGTTTGCCTTGTTCTTGTTCTTCTTTTCTTCCTCTTTCTTCTTCTTCTTTCCCCTTCTCTCTCGTTCAGTAACTATTTTTTTTTCTAATCAAATCTCTCTCTCTCTCTCTCTCTCTCTCTCTCTCCTCTCTCTCTCTCTCTCTCTCTCTCTCTCTCTCTCTCTCTCTCTCTCTCTCTCTCTCTCTCTCTCCCTCTCCTCTTCTCCCTCCCTCCCTCCCTCTCTCCCTCCTTCTCTATTTTTTTTCTAATCAAATCAAAATCTCTCTCTCTCTCTCTCTCTCTCTCTCTCTCTCTCTCTCTCTCTCTCTCTCTCTCTCTCTCTCTCCATCTCTCACTTTTTTTCTTCTTTTGTGAGGGGATGTAAATGCTAAAACGTGTTATTGTTATTGTGAAGATATGGAAGAGAACGGAAAAGGGTTCACTTGTAAGATAATACGCTTTATCCAACAACTGAACAAAGAAAACGGGGAAGGCGGAAACAGCTCGATTTTGTCCACAGGAAATTATATCTTCTTTTTATACCAGTTTGGCATAGAGTATAAGTACAGTGTAAGGTGAGAGCTGTGGATCATGTGGATACAAGTCTAACACTTATATAAACACATCAGATTTAAATAAGTTATTCTGCGTCAATAAAAGTCAAACTTGTATTGATATGTCTTCCTTTTATTTAAGTTCCCCCTTATATTATAATTCTTCCCACCCGATGAATATTTATCACCGCTATGACAAGTTTTCTACCGCTTTTTGATATGAAATTACATGCAGGAATCAAACACTCGTAGATAATATTGCAAAATGTACTATCGCAAGATTTCCTAGTTCTCGTGTGCAAGCTCAGGCATTTTGGCAAACAATCTTCAAGCTTGGAATATTTGGCAACTCGAGTGATCTCCTCACTTGGCAAATCTGAAATATCTCTGTACTTTCAGTGTTGTTTCGCTCAAGTGACAAATTAAGTTAATATGATGTGTTTTTTCAATCTATGTCAAGTGATGATTAGATGTCCATTGTTTGTTTAAGTGGCGTCTGTTGGGTGTGTTCCTACCCCCCCCCTCCCCCATGCGTTTCTATTTTGGGTATATTCGTGTTGCTTTTGTATTTATCTACTTATTTCTTTCCCTTTTTCTTTGTTTTCTTTGCCTATTTTTTATTCTCTCGCCTTATCTTTTCTATATATATTTTTTTCGCCTTTTTCTTATTTATTTATTTTTTTCTTCTTTCTCTACCTGTTTTCTCTCTCGTCTCTTTCTCCTCTCTACTTATTTCCTTCCCACATTTACTTTTTATCTACTACTTATTTCCACATCTCTTTCCATTTGCATCAACCTATTTCTTACTTCCTTTCTTTATTTTTGTCTTTCTTTGCCTATTCCTTTTCTATTTTATTTTTACCTTGATAGTTTCCACGTGTCTTTTACCCTAGGTGCCAAGTTTTATTTATTCGTCCATTTTCTACCTCTCTTTTTCTCTTTCTGTGTGTACCTCCTTTCTCTCTTTCTCTTTTTCGTTCTTTATATCTTTCTCTGTCTATTTCGTTCTTTCTCTCTCTATCTATATCATTCTTTCTCTCTTTCTGTATCTACGTCCTTCATTCTCTCTTTCTATCTATTTCGTTCTTTCTCTCTTTCTCTATCTACCCCCTTCTTTCTCTCTTTCTCTGTCTATTTCGTTATTTCTCTCTCTGTCTATCCATATCATTCTTTCTCTCTTTCTCTACCTCCTTCTTTCTCTCTTTCTCTGTCTATTTCGTTAATATCTCTCTCTCTTTTATCTTTATCTTGATGAATATATCTATCTACTTTTTCCCTTCCTTTCTTTATGTATTTCTATCTCTCTTCTTTCCTTTCTTCTCTTTTTTATCAATTCCTCTACTTATTCCCTTCTCTCAGTTTACGTTGATCAGTATCTATCAGTCTATTTCTCTCTCTCCCTCCCCCCCCTTCTCTCTCTCTCTCTCTCTGTCTCTCTCTGTCTGTCTCTCTCTCTGTCTCTGTCTCTGTCTCTGTCTCCTCTCTCCGTCCTCTTTCTCACTCTCTCTCTTCACTCTCTCTCTCTCTCTCTCTCTCTCTCTCTCTCTCTCTCTCTCTCTCTCTCTCTCTCTCTCTCTCTCTCTTCTCTCTCTTCTCTCTCTCTCTCTCTCTCTCTCTCTCTTTCTCTCTGTCTCTGTCTCTGTCTCTCTCTTTCTCTCTCACTCTCTCTCTCTCCCTCTTTCTCTATAACCGCGTGAAGAGATGCCATGAAGTATTGTTGTTTATCTGTTCATCTATTTACACTTTTATTCTCCTGCGTCTTTCTCCTCTCTTTCTCTATTTATTCCTTTCTTTAACACTTTCCTTCTTTCACCCTTTTTTTTCTTTAACTCATTCTTTCTTTCAATATTTTAATTTTTCCCTCTTTCCTTCTTTCTATCACAACATTATCTCCCCTTCTTTCTCTACTTGCTTCCCCCTCTTTCCTTCTCTCTACACTTCTTTCTTCCCTCTTTCAATTTCTTTCTGCCTCTCCCTCTTTCACTCTTTCTCTATTCATTTATGTCCTTAATTCTCTAATTCTTTCTTTCTCTCCTATTTATTTCCCTCTTGCTCTACTTATCTTAATGGATTCTACGTGTCTCTTCCCTTATTTATTCATACAATTATTTAATTATCTACCTACTTCCTTCTCTCTTTCTCTATTTACTTCTTTCTCTTCTTCTATGTTTACCTCTTCTTTCCTTCCCTTTTCTTTCTCTTCCTTCTATCTTTCCCTCTTCCTTCTTTCTCTCTTCTATCTTTCCCTCTTCCCTTCTTTCTCTTCTTCTATCTTCCCTCTTCCCTTCTCTTCTCTTCTCTTCTATCTTTCCCTCTTCCCTTCTTTCTCTTCTCCTATCTTTCCCTCTTCCCTTCTTTCTCTTTCTTCCTCTTTTTCCACTTCTACCTTTCTATCTTTCCCTCTTCCCTTCTTTCTCTTCTTCTATTTGTCCCTCTTCCCTTCTTTCTCTTCTTCTATCTTTCCCTCCTCCTTCTTTCTCTTCATTTGTCTTTCCCTTTCCCCTTCTTTCTCTTCTTCTATCTTTCCCTCTTCCCTTCTTTCTCTTCTTCTATCTTTCCCTCTTCCCTCTTTCTCTTCTTCTATCTTTCCCTCTTCCCTTCTTTCTCTTCTTCTATCTTTCCCTCTTCCTTCTTTCTCTTCTTCTATCTTTCCCTCTTCCCTTCTTTCTCTACTTCTATCTTTCCCTCTTCCCTTCTCTCTACTTCTATCTACTCTACTTCTATCTTTCCCTCTTCCCCTCTTCTCCTCTTTCTCTTCTGTTATTTGACTATTATTACCTCCACCAAGAAGGTTATGTTCTAGGTCGCGTCCGTTAGTCTGTTTGTTCGTTCGTTGGTTAGCAGAATAACTCAAAAAGTAAGAACAGATTTTTATGAACTTTTTACTTGAGGTTTGTTACTTGGGTCGCGGAGGCCCGACCCAAAGAATATTCGTATACTTGACATGCATAAATAAATAAAGCAATGTATATTTATCAGTCTAGACATGTATATCAACCCGGCAAATAGATGGTTAAATTCATATCTATCAGATATATATACAGATATGCCTTTTATTTCTGCATATGTATTTATGAAAATTCATTGGCACAATTTTAACAAACAGGCTGTTAGACCAACTTAGATGCCACTAAATTAATTGATTAATATATATATATATATATATATATTATATATATATATATATATATATATATACATACATATATATATATATATATATATATATATATATATATATTATATATATATATATATAATATGCGGGATAGGGACAGCTTAATTTTTCGGCACTTAGATTATTATAATTATTATTGTCATTATCATTATTATTATAAATGTCAATTTTTCAAGAGTGAATATCATTATTGCATCAAAGAAGTCTTTGCTCTTTGAGTGCTTCTAGTTATTACTATTTTTACCTTGATGATCATTATTATCATTACTACTTTACCTGATGGAACATTATTACCATTACTATTTCAACCATGGTGGACTATGACTGTCATTACTATCCTACCTTGATGGCCCATTATTATCATTACTATTTTACCCTGATGGACTGTTGTCGTCATTACAATCCTACCTTGATTGACCTTTATTGTCAATACTATTTTACCTTGATAGACTATCATTATTATTACTACTTTACCTTGATGGACCATTATTGTAACTACTAGTTTACCTTGATAGACTATTATTATTACTATTTCACCTTGATGGACCATTATTGTAACTACTATTTTACCTTGATAGACTATTATTATCACTATTTCACCTTAATGGACCATTATTGAACTACTTAGTTTACCTTGATAGACTATTATTATCACTATTTCACCTTGATGGACCATTATTGTAACTACTATTTTACCTTGATGGACTCGACGTGTCTCTTGGCATAGAGGTACAGGCGCGAGTAGATGCCCACCATCACGCAACAGGGCAGGAAGAAGCTGATGCACGAAGACACCACAGCATAAGCGGGACTCAGATCCAGGGCGCACTGCTCCTCGCCGGCTACGTG